GTTGTTCTCACTGCATGCCAGAATGACTTCTAAATCAAAAGCTACGAGTTCTGTACTGGCCTAATTGCAGAAGCAAAGGCCACTCTGCAATTTATTAATAAGCAGGAACACTGTATTTGTTCAATTTTTCATCAGTACTTTTGCAAAAGATCTTCATCATCAGGGATCTATCAGTAGACAGAACTTTCCATCTTTAGGATTTCTGGAGAACTTGACATTTGTGCTCTGCACAGAGGAGACTTAGAGGTTCAAAGGGGCAGGATTACCGTAGCTGTAGAAATTCTTGCTGCCAACTTTCACAGGCCTCGTGGGCTTATGCAAGCACCTGTGATATTCAGAAGTTAGGATGGATACTGTCTAACCCATCACCTTAAGCATCTACTGTTCCTGGATACCTAACTCAGGTAAAACTTCCCATGAGGACTGTATTTCCTAAAGGAGTACACTCAGGTGTAGCTGCTGAGATTCACTGTATCAGGTCCTGTCTAAGATACTGGTGGAAGGGGAGGTGCAGCACCATTCAAAACCTGCAATTACCGTGGCTTTAATGACCCAATACAAAGACCAGCTAATACATTATAGCTGTTACTATGGACCTTGCCTGGAATACTAAAATACATTCAGGGCATTTTATTTCTTAAACTTAAGTACAGCACTAAAGTAATTTATTCTTCTTAATTGTCCTCTCTACCTTATAAAATTCCCTTATATGAGGCTTCCATAGAGTTTCTTTGTCAGACAAAACGTGTAAAGACAACAAAGGGAAAATAAAGTGTATGTTTAAACTAATTTTCTGGAACAGTGTTAGAAAACCTCAGCACGTTTATTTGCCATTCATGCCATTTTTTGGAGAGGCTTTGAGCTGACTAATAACATGAAACAGATGACCAGAGCTTGACTTCCTGGAGGAAACACTGTATAGTCCAGTTTTCATTTAACTCACTTGGATGCAGCCCCCAAGGACCTGCTGAGTACTATGCAGAAAAATGTGACCTGAGTCCCATGTCAGCTCAAAGAGCACAATAGGAGGGAAGATAGACTGGAAAGTCAAAATCTATCTGTGATCAGAAGAAGGTGGCATTGCCAGTGCCGAACTGCAAGAATTATTACTCGAGTGTACTGAATGCTTCCAGAAGAGTGAGGAAAGGATCTTCATGGCAAGGACAGATGGCAGGAATTTGTGGGTTTTGTCGCAAATAAGCGGAATTGAGTCACCTTTTGCCCTGTGACCTAAATCTGGGCTTGGGGACTTAAAGGTCCTCTGTTCCTGCAGCCTTGCAGCAGAGGGACTGCCCCTTCTGCGCCATAGCTCAGATTTACAGTGGTGTTGTGCGACTTCAGCGGGGTCCCTCTGTCTCTTCACTGGGGTAACTGGGGGAACAGCCAGTTAGAAGGACCCTCTGGCATATATTCAGGTGAAAGGAAATCACCATTAGTGAAAGTTAGAAGCGAAAACTTGGAAACGCGAAATAATTTCTGTTCTACAAGGTTTCAAATGTACCACTGCTTTTTCCTATTTATTCCACTTTCAGACAAATACTGTTCTGAAGGTAAATGCCTAATGACATGTTCAGTTTAAGTACTGATTCCCACCAACAATAAAAAATAAATTCTACCCTGAACACTAATAAACTTTAATGCTTTTATTCATAGCTATATGAATCACCAAGATTTATATGTATCATAAAATTCTGGAAGTGAAAGTAATGAGG